AAATAACTCACCATCAGCATCCATAAAACATTTGTGTCATCCACATACTGTTATTACCGACACAAAGGATTCCATTATGTTTTATTAGGACTTTGGTTGAAGATAGTGAAGATGAATTTGACCGTCGTTATAAAGACAACTTGGATATTGGGCGGGTGATGGGCGAATGGGACTGTAAAAGAAGCGGCTGTGGGGATGAATTTTAATTGGAACGTCGCATGAAGAGCCTGGTGCCGCGTCTGGGGTTGGAGAACCCCAATGCTCCTCAGGTGCTCCTGTTTTCACGTGGGGAGAGTGAACCTATCCTTACCAAAATCCAAAACGCAAACCCCAATCAAAAACCCAACCTGTTCCCCAACTCATTTGAAATAAAAAGCATCTTCTTGGCCTTAAACGTCAAGAAGTCGAGATAATGTGAGGCAAGGATGGTTCGATCACAGAACCATTCCCTTTCGGCGCTAGCCGATGGAGAATGCGTTTAGATTAAGTGATCGGCACATCGCACCAACCTCTTGTATGCCTATACACGCGCAATTGTGGTATCCGCGTTGAGCCGGCGGTGCGCGGAAAGGTCAAAGGACAGACCAAGATCATGCTCAGCATGGTTGCCAGTATACAGCCACACCTTTCCATACGTCAAAATAAAGTGCCTAACAGCTGCATCTCTATCAGTTAGAAATAATGCCATTGCACGGCTCTGCTGAACGGACAGCGCGTCCAGGTCTTCAGACGTCGTGGCGGACTCTCCAACAAAACGATCAATAAACAGATAAATATTCTCATCTGTGAAGATTGTGTTCAATTTTAATACAATGACCACGTTGTGTGGTTGTAACCCCGTATTGTCGATGGTCCTTTCCGTGAACTCGAACTTGGATAGAAACCCTTTGTACGGCATCCGATGGCAGGTTACCACCACGGGTAGCCCGCTTAGGTAGGCTGAACTCACTGAATAGTAAAGCGTATTATCAATTTTATCACTCATGACAAAGATGACGACACCCTTGTTGATCTCGATAAGTCCACAGCAAGAGCTGATCGGCTGCGGCAGCAGAAGCTCTGGGCTTGCTTCCAACTGTAGAGCCTTTCCCTGATCCACATCGAGACTGCCTTCCTTCCTCTCCGTACGGCTTAGGGCTTTCCCCTTCTTAAGCCCCAGGAGTAGCTCCTTGTGCATAATACGTGCGTCCTCAATGCGCTCCTTGCGGTTCGTCTTCTCGCCGTACAGGTTGAAAAGATAGATCAAAGATGCAAGGAACTGTAGCCCAGCGACGATGAACACACCGACATGCGGCATCTTAAGATCGGATAACGGGCCCTGGATGATAGAAGCCAGCAAGCTCCCTATGGTAATGATCCACCAGATTCAGCTCACCAGTGCCGGCCCAGCCTTGGGGATCGTATGTACCAGATGGCTGTAATAGCCTTCGGAAAGAATGTCCACATTCGGTATGCCATAGGAATTCAGAAAGATAAAGGAGGGAGCAATGTCACAAGACGACAGATTGGCTGGCAACAGGCTGTGGAGAAGCGCGAGCACACTGCCCATTACACACGAGGCAAACATATACCAGCGCTTTGTATAACCGAGGAAAGCGAATGTATCGCATAGCACAGCGGTTAAGGCCTTCATGGCCGAAGCAAGCCCCATAAGGCCTACAAGCCGCTGGTAGCGAAATGCTTCCACTTTGTAAGCGTTGATAAAGATGGGGAAGATGGAGCCTTTCATAAATCCAGCCGACAAACCCTTGCAGAGCAGGTAGGAAAGGGCGAGGCCGATGATGCACGCGGGGCCGTATGCCTCACAGGTTTCGCCGAAGATGGGAATGCGGCGTAGCATCGGTACGCAATCGAAGAGGCTCTTCGCGCTGGGGTGGAGGGGAATGCCGGTGTCGTCCTCGGCGGAGTTGAAGACGGAGGCGGGCTGGCGATTCGCTTCCTCGGCGCCGTACGGGTGAGGGGTGCCCGTGATTGGGTCCATCTTGAAGTGATTGATTGCTTCTGGGGCTCACCTCAAAAGGAAAAAACCTCTTGACGTTATGGCAACAGTCCCTTGTTGGATTCCTTTCAAATGGCTTTGTGGGTTCTCACGTGCGTCAACCTATTCGGTGTAGCGGTGGGCAGCAAGAGAGAAGTGTATTGGTATGTCTGTTGAGAGACTTAGCTAAAGACAGTGTGGGGAGAGACAAAGGAGAGAGGGCACTAAATTAACGGTGGACCGAGAAGAACAGGACGGCGGCACCCTTACCATGCTCGCAACGACGCTTGAGGAGAGCAGGGATTAACTGCCGTAAGCACTGGAAGGGGTGTGCTACACTAGGAGAGGATCCGACGAGGGGTTGTTAGTGCGCCAGTGGATTTTTACGAAGAAATGGGGAAAAAAATATATAAAATAAGATAACAACACTCATATACCATTCTT